AAAAGAAATAGATCCCTGGGAATCAAGAAAGAGCTGACAGAACAACTAGAAACCACAGAAAAACTGAACACAAGGCAGAGCAAAGAACACAGTACTTTGGAATGTGAACCCTGGTTCCTGGCAGGGTGACCTGTCTCTGCCAAAACAAGGTACATCCGGGGTGGGTCAGCAGCCCTGGGGAGAAACAGTGATTGGGCTGCCGGCACCACCCCCAAGAAGAGCCCACGGTTATTATAAACTGCAAACGCAATGTGGGGTTTTATTCTGAAAGTAAGTCCTTCCGTGTGGCAAGCGAGCATTGGAGAAGACACCCAGGGCAATGCCCACCATATCTGAGCGTGTTTAATCAGTAGCCATTTTGAGAAGAGGTCAGTTGTTTCAGGCTGAGCTGAAGAACAACTACACCTCGGGATTTCTGGGATTATCCTACCCTGATAACCATGTGGGAGATGGTCACAAGCAACATTTGTGGAGAAGGTGTGGACTAGACACAGACCCCCTGAGGAGTTTAAGCCTAAGCTGAAAGGACATAGGGGTCCTGTCCTCTCTAGTGAGAAGTCAGTCCACTTACACGTGACGTTCAGAGAAGGCTGGTTCTGAAGTTCCATCATTAAGTCCACTGGACTGTTCGACCTCGCACTCCAGCTCCACTGCTTCCACTCAGCACAGAATTCAGTGGCCTGTTTACTTCATCTGCCTCTGTGACCAGAGATACACCTCAGTTTGGACAGTTGCCATAGCCTGGGGTGTACAGACAGAAGGGTCTCTGGAAAGAGGGTGGTTCTCACAAACCCACATGTTGTAAAGCTAGGTGGAGAAAACAGTGACTTGTAGCCCACTGAGGGACACAGCAGCTTGCAGGAATACAGTCCTAGGGCATACGCTACTATCAACAGCACCCAGCGGGAAAGGTGGGGCAGGACTCAGCATTCACATACAAAAATATGAGTTACATCAACTTATCTGAGTTAAAGATATCGTATCATAGGGGCACATGCACATAGCAGCACAACTCCTAATGGCAAAATCTTGGAAGTAGTCTGTATGTCTATCAACCGATGAGTGGATAAAGAAAATGTGATATTGGTACACCACAGAGTGCTATTCTGCTATGAAGAAATACGAATTTCTAGAAAAATGAATGCACTTTGAGGCAATAATGTTCAATAGAATAAATCAGACACACAGCCTGAATATCACATAGTTTCTCTTATGTAAGAAGCCCAAAGTCTAAATAATTAAACAGAAAAATAAAAGATAAACTATTGGAAACAGGAGATCTTTTGCAAATGGGAAGGGGATTAAGAGATGGGGGGAAAAGAAAGGTAGGGAAGGGGAAGGAGAAGCAAAAAGAATCAAGATGTGTTATGCACATGTACCAGCTCTGCCTGGTGGATGTCATCCTTATGTATTGCACACATGTGCTACTAATAACAAACATTTTAAAAATCAGAGTATTCTATTTTTATTCTAACTGCATTTCTCAGAGGAGATCAATAATAGATCCTCAGATTTGTCCTCTTTCCTTATCATCTGCTTCTTTCCAACTTTTTTCTGCTTATACATTTTGAGTTCTGTCTTTCATGTAAATTCTGATAACATTTGGCTATCTGCTTTTAAGTGTGCCAAGATTAACAAAACAAAACGCTTACTTAAATTAGAATTTTAGGTTTTTTTTGTTTTGTTTTGCTTTTATTTTGGTCTTTCTGAGACAGGGTCTCGCTATGCAGTGCAGGCTCAGTTTGTAGCCCAGGCTGGTCTCTAACTTGCAATGATCCTCCTGCCTCAGCCTCCCAAGTTCTGGGATTATAGGCATGTGCTACCATACCCAGCTTTTGAATTTTAGATAATTTTTAGTATAAATCTGTCCCATGATAAGTATTTTACACTTCATTGAAATATTATTTGTCTGAAATTTAAATTTAACTAAGTGTCCTGTATTTTCGTAGCAGTGCTAAGGATGACACCCACACTGCTGACCAGAGGCATCTGTGTGTAAGTACGACAAGGATGACTTTACTAACAGGTTGCTCCAGTTTCACTGAGTAACTGTTTACACTTTCATTAGGGCTCTGCTCAGATTCCCCAGAGGAAAGTATTTTCTAAGCTCCCCACCAGTGAACATAATAATTCTGGCTGCCCGTGTTACAGGAGTCAAAAAGATGATCAAGCAGCTGAATATTCACATCTTAATTTCCACATGGCCTCTCAATTTCAGTGCAGTGTCCTTTGCTGTATGTTAGTCTACTAGCTTTGATTAAGGATGGCTGCATATTCTTTGCACACACGCTGCATTCAGGATGAAGTCTAATTTCCCTTCCTTTGAATCTGGGCCGGCCTAGTGATTTGCATGACTTAATAAAATAGAAATCATGTCCAACAGCTTCCAAGCTGAGATAATAAGAAGCCTGCTAACTCCTGCCTGGATCTCTTGGCGTATTCTTTCCGGAAACTCTGAGCCTCCATGTAGGAAATCTGACAACCCTGACACTGCCCTGTGGAGAGAGCACATCTAGGTGCTCTGGTTGACCATGCCAGCTGAGACCAGTGCTCCAAAGAACCTTGGTTTGGTGCCAGTATATGAGTCAGTCCTCCAGACTGGCTGAATACTGTCAGTTGACTCCACCAAGTGACCTTTATTGATGCCATGTGGAATAAAATACTTGCCCGGCAAAGTCCTGATCAAATTCAGATTCATAAAAATCTTGAGATAAAATAAAATGATCATTGTCATAAGTCACCCAATTTTGGGATAGTTTCTTAAAGAGCTTTGAATAATCAGAATGCTGTGACCATTGTCCCATTCCAGAGACCCTCTTCTTTGTCCCTTCCTGACCGTGTGCGTCTTCTCCTCCACATGAGGTGTAGCAACAGCTGTGCAAGTGGGAATAGAGGACAGTAGCTGCCTCCTGCATGGTTACAACAAATCCTGCTTCCTTCTGCCTATCTAGCCACGTTCAGAAGCATCTCGTACAGTAAATGCCTTTGTGTCCTCAGAAATCCTACACTATCATGTTGCTTCTTGGCTTTCCCTACTTCTGGGGTAGCAGTCAGCTTTCTCAACTCTGCTAATTATCACCTGTCTGCTTTCCAGGTGCCAAAACTTTGCTATTATTTCCTCTTTCTTATTTTCTTTTCCCTGTGAGATTAAAAAAAAAAAAAAATCAGCTCTCGCTGTAGCAGGGTTCAAGAGGCCTAAAGTAAATACACATGTCCATCCTGCTCTTTCATTTGAAGGTTCCTTTGAGTCTTTAATGTCTACAATTCTATTAATGTTTTAAATACAGTATTCTTAGATCAAGTTCCTGGAGAAGCACAGCCAGACAGGTGTAGGGATTCTTGCATAAGTGCTTTGGTGAGCGTGTTCTCAGGGGAAGAGGGTAAGCAAGCAAAGTAGGATAGGCCTAGGCAGAAGCTATACAAAGATGTGGTTTCTGCTGAGGTTGTGCCTTCTCCGTCTGACCCCATAAGAGCCCTGGCCATATTTATTATGGGCCTTTTGTACCCCATAAGCCTCTGTCCATGGCTTCCAAACCTGGTCCCAGGGCAGTTTTGGGGTGGAGGCAGCAAGGTGCTGGGGGCTGCATGCAGCTGCCTAGGGTAAAGAAAAGCTCATCTCAGCTTGTTGCTAATAGCGTTTGTTAGTTGTTCCTGGCCTTTATTATTTTCTGTATCTAATTTCCCCCCCTTGCAGTACTGGGGATTAAACCAGGGCCTTTACACTGAGCTCCATCCCCAGGTTTTTTATTTCTTATTTTGAAACAGTGTCTCACTATGTTACTAAATTGCCCAGGCTGGACTGAATTTGGGATGGGCCAGCCTCAGCCTTCCAAAGTGATGGGATTACAGGCATGAGCCCTCATGCCCTGCTGTAATTATTTTTTAAAGGGTGAAATGGTCTCTCTAATCTTTCCGAGGAAGCCAATTATACTTATTGTATTTTTTTTCCTACTGTTTTCTTCAAGGTCAGTTCCTACCCTGAAGCTCAGAAACAGATTATCAGACATATAATAGGGCTAGATAGAAATTGATCTGATCCTAAGGCTTATTCTCTTACCACGTTAAACCACCGCCTCTAACTAAGTCCTTACGAAATAATTTAATGTTGCCTCTCTTGCCTCAAGGATACTAATAACCACTTGGACTTTGATTTAGTGTATAGCAAACATTCCCCAGAGCTACCTATCCTTTGTTAAATAAAGTCGAAATTTGCCTAGGAATGCAACAGATTCCTTCTTCAGGGGCTCACTGAGAACCCGCTATTGCCAGAAACGGTGCTGGATACGGTCACGAAGGTGATCTAGACCTCCTCAGTGGCTTCAAGAGTTTTGTATACAGCAGGGGAAGCAGACAAAAACAAACAAAAGTGCATTACAAGGAGCAAGCGGAGCGCAGAGGCTGACCCAGCCGCTCCTGCCCGGTAGTACTGAGCCCTAGTACTGTAGTTCTCAGATGAAGAAGGATCGAGTGCCACTCCTCCCAACTTCTTTTCCCAGAGGTTTCCCCGGCCTGGTGGCCGCACCAGGAAGAGCAACTGTGTTGCTCAAGCGCCATGAAGAACTGCTGGAAACTTTTTGGAATGTCGGTGTTCATGAAACGCGCCATTCAGATTTCATTTCCCCTTTGCCAGCCACAGGCCAGATGGGAGCCTGCGCTGGGAGGTTTTCCAGGGTGGCCGCTTTGGTTGGCGCGCTGCGCAGGGAGCGCGCGGCGAGGTCGCGGGGCGCGGCCCCCCAGGGCCTGGGGACCCCGGGCTCCCGGGACACTGAAGGTCGCTGATCCCTCGCGGCCGGGACAGGACCCGGGTCGGCGGTGCCCGGCGGGCTGCGCGAGGCCGGCGGGGCGCGAGCCGGAGCCCCGTGGGGTGCGGGCCTCGTGGGGGCACCCCCAGGCCGCCCGGCCGAGGCCCCAGGTGCGCCCGGCCGAGGGCCCAGGTGCGCTCCCCGGAGGAGGGACTTTCCGGTCCCGTGGGCAGAGGGACAACCAGGAACTCGGGCGCAGTCTCCACCCCGAAGTGGGGCGGATCCTCCCGGGATAAGACGCGCGGCCCGGCCCGACGTGCGTGCGACCTCCGCGGCCGCAGAGGAAGAGCGCTGCCGGTCTGGTCTGGGCGCGGCAGGTAAGGTGCTGGGGCCTGGGGTGCAGAGCCCCGAGAGGGCGCGGGGCGCGCGGTGCGAGGCAGGCCTGCGAGCCCCTCCCGGGATGTGCAGCCCCACGCCCGCCCGGAAGGCAGTGCTCGCCGCCGGGTGGAGGACGCGGGAGCGCGGCGCAGGACCCAGGCACACCCGGACATCCCCAGGCGGGAGACCTGAGTCCTTAGCTATGAGCCCATATTCTGGGCTTGGGCGTTAAACAGAAAGGACGGAGTTGAATACTTCCTGCAGCTAATCCAGTGTAACATCTCTCAGGTTTGACTTTTTCATTCTTTCCTCCCTTTAAGAAACTTACTCCTTTTTCTTAATCTCTCACCCTTGTCTCTCCTTCTGTAGCCAAGGGCCCAGCACGGTGCCTGGCTCCTCGGAATCTTGCTGTTATGAGCTGCATGACTTGTGCTTGCCGGGAGCACAGTGGCGCTCTCTCCTCCTGGCTTAGTTGAGTTGAAGACCGGGAGGCCAAAGCGGGCGGCTTTTCAACGGTCTGGAACGTGAAGTGTTCCCCTAGTGGATGCAAGACTTCTGGGAGCCGTTCCGAGCCCTGTGGATCTGGAGACACACCTGAAAATTGTGCGTGTGGTCTCTCCAGCTCTCAGGACTGGGCGGGGGACCTCTTCCCGAGCCATCCCACGCCCGTCCGCTTCGGGACACCCCGCTCTCTCTGAACATTGCAGGTAGCTCTATGATAGCCAAACGCTAGCCCTTTAAATTCCCAGATGAAACAGCGGTGGAAGAGCAAGAGAGAGGAAGGAGACAGGGATGAGAGAAGGGGTAGCATCGTGCCACTCAGTAGCTGCTGACGCCCCAAGGCCAGATCAAATCAGATTCCTACTGATTTGGGAACGTACAGAGTCAGCCAAAAAAAAAAAAAAAAAAAAATGTATGCACACTTCAGCAACTGACCAAACATAAACGTCTGGAAGCTAATGGCTGCCCCTTTGAGCACCTCTAGTAGCTGTAAAGGCCAAAGGTAACTCACTTGTATAATCTTGTGATGTCTCAGTGAATTTAGTATTAAAACATTTACACAAGGTTTTCTTTTCCTGATGTATACATGTTTTGGGTGGGCTCTGTACATGCAGGTATACATGTGCTCTTAGCCATATACACACAGACACACAACTGCTGGTCCGCGGTACCTGTAGGTTTCCTCCTAGATGTTCTTCCCTTTGGCTGGGAATAATTTCCCTCCGAAAGCAGTTTAGAGTAACACGCGTAGCACAGCTGAAGCACACCAGCCAGCAGCACCTGCAGGGAGAGCTTCCCGGTCACCCCGGGTGTCCTGCGGGACTTTCTCTCTTTCTGCCCAGCCACCTATTTGTCTTTTTTTCCTGCTCTGGCTTATCTGCTCGTGGCCTGAGTCTGCTCTTCGCTGAGAGACACAGAGGTGAGTGGTAGGCAGTGGGGATGGTACAGTGTACCCGGAGTGCTTGAAACTATAAAATAAACAAGAAGGGTTTTCCTTGGGAGTCAGTTTTACCTAAATAGGGCCAGGGATATAGCTCAGTGGCATAAGTGTCTGTCTGGCAACTGCAAGGTCCTGAGTTCGATTCCTGGTACCAAAAAAAAAAAAAAAACCACTCCCCCGCAAAATAATTTTACCCAAATATTTGAGGATTGGGCTGGGGATATTGCTCAGTGGCATAAGCGCTTGCCTGGCAAGCCTGAGGTCATGAGTTCGATTCCTGGTAACCAAAAAAAAAACAAAACCAAATATTTGAGGATTAAAAATACTGCTTACATTAAAACAATGAAAGATATATTTTAGAATCAAAAATCATAACATTTTAATCTAACTCCAGAAACTTCAGAAAAGTATATGATTTTGCCCACACCGGGCCCTCGAGGTCTTGTTTTCAATGCAGTGAGGGCTCCTCGCCGCTGAGGCAGTTTAACAGGCACTGCCTCGTCCTCCCTGGAGTGGCTTTGAATAACAGTCAAAGGCTCCCTCATTTAATCATCCCTCAGCCTGAGCTGGGGTTAACAGCTTTGCTTTACAGATGAAAAAAGCAGAGCTCCAAGTCATGGCCCTTGGTCAAAGTCATGGTCAGATAACTGATGAATGGAGGCTTAAATTCGGACGTAGATACGGAGCCTGTTCTCTTATCCCGTCTGCCCTGCTGTGACTCCATCTCTCCAGCTTCTTGTCAGGGTGTCCCATGAAATATAGTTGGAAGAACTGAAGCTGGCTGGGGCTGTACCTCAGTGGTAGAGTGCTTTACCTAGCTATTTCAACCAGAAAGGGAAGGCTGTGGGTCTCTGGTGGGTGTTGGGTATACATAGCAGCTCTAAATTCCTTTTATTTATTTAGTTTTTGGAAACAGTGTCTTGATAAATTGCCCAGGCTGGCCTTGAATTTGCAGTCCTCCTGCCTCAGCCTCTCAAATAGCTGGAATTACAGGCAGGCGCTGCCACACCTATCTAGTAGTGACTCTAAATTCTTTTTTATTTTTGAGACAGGGTCTCACTGTGAATTCAGGCTGGCCTTGAACTCGAGGTGATCCTCCTGCCTCAGCCTCCCAAGAGCTGCTGGCATTACAGGGGTGCACCACCACGCCTGGCCAACCCTAAATTCTTGAGGGGCTTAGCATGTGGCAAGGGAATAAACGCACTCATCATGGCACTGGGCAGGAATAGTTAGGAGTTTTTGGAACGGTGGGTTCTGTTTGAATTTGAAGAAGTGGTTTTTGAGACCCATCAGCTGGGTGGCCTTTGGGTTGGTGAGGCCTCTCTCACCCTTTTCTGCGGAGGCTGTGAAGGTGGAAGATTAGGCTAAGATGACCTTTGTAGCCTTCGTTCCCAAACTTCAGGGTCCGTCAGAATCCCCTAGGGAGAATCCCCTAGGGAGTTTGTACGCTGTGCAGATTCTTGTTCCACTCCCGGAATCGTCATGAGATGCGATAGGTAGGGGTCCAGAAATCTGCATATTTAACAGGCTTCCAGAACACATCTTAAAGGGCCGGGATGTAGCTCAGTGGCATAAGTGTCTGCCTGGCAAAGGCAAGGTCCTGAGTTTGATTCCTGGTACCAAAAAAAAAAAAAAAAAAAAAAAAAAAAAAAATCCTCAGTGAACAGAACACATCTTAGTTCCTCTTACTTTCCCTTCTCTTCCCCTTCCTGTCTTCCTTCCATCTCTTGGTCCTCTTCCCATTTGTAAAAGATCTATCTCCCTCCTTCCAACTGTCTTTTATTTTTCTGTTCAAATTTTTTTTTTTTTTTTGTCTTTTTGAGACAGGGTCTGGCTATGCAGCTGAGGCTGGCCTTGAGCTCACTTTGTAGCCCAGGCTGGTCTCGAACTTGCAACGATCCTTCTGCCTCAGCCTCCTGAGTGCTGGGATTACAGGCATGTGCCACCATGCCCAGCTGAAGAATATGTTTTAAAGGTTCACATTATCTGAGGTCACTAAATTACCATATTGCTTCTTGGTCTAGACTGCTCAGTATAAAAACTGAAGTGAACGTTATATCCACTATCAGCAGCCTGTGTGTCCATCAACAGATGAATGGATAAAAAATGAGGTATTTACACAAGTGGAGTACTATTCTGCTATAAAGAAGGATAAATTTGAGTCCTTTATAGGAAAACGGATGCACCTTGAAACCATAATGTTACGTGAAATAAACCAGTCACCCAGCTTAAACATCACATGGTTTCTCTTACGAGAAATGCAAAGTACAAAAAAAAAAAATCCAAGATATTTTTCTGAATTCAACTTCTGCTATCACTTCCTTTTTTTTTTTAATCTTTTTTTCCACCGGGCATGGTGGTGCATGCCTGTAATCCCAACACTGGGGAGGCTGAGGCAGGAGGATCGTTACGAGTTCGAGACCAGCCTGGGCTACAAAGTGAGCTCAAGGCCAGCCTGA